TTTGTTGATTTTCATTTTTTGGTCAAAATCTCAGCAATTTTTTCAACGTGATAATTCAAAAAATAATCTAAGTAGTCCGATAGACAGACAAAGTACACCATTAGATTCAGTTTGCGACGCTGATTCTGCATACGGTATTTGTATTACAATGAAGTTGAATTCTGATGAATAAAATTGAGAATTACAGATAGAATTTCGTTTTTTGCGCTCCTGATTTAGATAATATGAATCTCAGTGATAAAGCACAATAGAATTCATCTGTTCAAAGAAAAAACTAGATAAGTGTCCAAATTGTTTATAAACCTTTTATAGGGAGAGTGCAACACCGAGTGTTGTTTTCTTTTTCTATATTCGAATAATATACCATTAAATTTTACTTTGTCCAAGGATCAAGAATATTCTCTTATTTTTACAAAAAAACGTAATAAAAATGATAGAAATCAATTTTAAGACCAAAATGATCAATAAGGTATTCGAAGCTTTTTCAATGTCTAAAATTGCCTGGGAGCAATATTTTAATATTTTCACTTTCTCTCATTAAATAAGAACTAAATAAAAATAAAAAGACTAAATGTCGTGCCAAAAAATTCTCTACAAAACATATATTTGGTTTATTGGTTTCTTGTAATTTTAAAATCCGGTAGGATTTTTAGTTCGCTTTGAACCTAATAAGAAAAAACGAATCGCCTGTCTGCGATGAATTTGCTTGCTTTCGTACTTTATATAAATCCTTTTATCTTTTATTACCGTAAGAAACAATAAATATTTTATCTGACTTATTCTTTAGACTACAGCACTTGCTTGCAGTAGAAACACGTTGATACTATTCAGTCAGATCGATCAATACGATGTCCTTCCTCTCCGAATTACAAGCTTACTCGCATCCAAAACTTCGACACACTACGACACGTGTTACAAATTTTTTAGGTCAAATACATCGTGAATCAAAGTCTGAAGATGGAACATTTCAAATCTCTGACAGATCAACCGATTCGAATGGTATATTTATGATAATCGATAATTCTCCTGATGAGAAACTTCACTATGTCATCGATGGTGTTTATATTGGTTCGCAAGATTCAGCCGTTAATAGAGCGGCCCTCAATGAGTTTAAAATAACACATATAGCGAATGTTGCTACTGGGATCCGTAATGCATTTCCTGAACAATACGAATATTTAAATATTGAATTATTAGACACACCTGAAACGAATATTCGTAACGTATTTGCACGAACCAATGAATTTATACAACAAGCGATTGACAATAATGGACGTGTTTTAATTCATTGTAATGCAGGTATCTCACGTAGTTCTTCTATTGTATTAGCTTATTTACTTGAAATACATCGTATGAAATATGAAGATGCATATGAACTACTGAAAAAAGCACGTTCTAATATTAGACCAAATGACGGATTTGCCAAACAGCTGAAAGAGTATGCTGCAGAAATAGCGCAAAGAACTGAAAATCAACCATCAACAGCTAGTTAATATTAGACCGAATCTATGCATGAAATCACGTTACATGATGGACTATACAATGGGTTCCTGGTTATTGTTTGGGAGTTTCCTATTGTCTATGTCCAGTAGTTAATCACCAACAACACTACTGACACATCAGTTTCACTGATTTCATATTAACTGACATTAAATGACCAAATAAATTTCTCTTAACAATTCGCCACAATTGCATTAATGTATTGTAATAAAATAGCTTTCGCGAGAAAAGTGTAAATCTACCACCTAACTTCTAAATGCATATACCAGCTGTTAGATTACCTAACACCTTTTCAAGCTTTATCTACATTCGTGCAAAAAATACAACAATCTTTTTCTTCAACAAACTTCCTAATTGATCTGGTAAGCCCGACTTCATACAATTCAATCTTCAAAGTTAAAAACGCGACAGAGCGTTTTCTACCCTGAAGATCAGCTTCTGGAAGCTGAGATTTTAGTGTGTGAGCTAACTTTCAATGAAAAGTGATTTTTAACAGCAGCTTTGATAGAAAGAAGAAAAGTATGCATCTCGACTGGAAATCCAGGATAGTGTACCATTCGATAGAGAATTTATCGCCCTACAATTTCATATATACAAAGTAGTGAAAAAAGTGTCCTCGGACCCCTTAACATTAGAAATACTGTCTCGAAAGCCGTAAAAGATCGGTGGCTTATTTCACGGTGACGATCCTGTGCTCTACACTTGTCCACTAACCACGACGATACATATACCATTCAATAGAGAATCTCACGAGCTTCAAGATGAGCGATAAACAAGTCTTTCAGAAATATGTCCACATGGATCAATAGTTGAAATACTTGTTCGATATAATGATTTTGACCTATCGTAGTGCTTTCAACACTCCATTAGTCGTTTTTCTGCCATAATGAAAATTATGTATTGTTCCAAAACATATCACTGGATAGCCCTTGAAATTCTCTACAAAGTGAGCTGGTCACAATATACACACAGGTGGGGCCTGTCATTAAAGATATTGAAAAGAAAGTTTTGGGTGTTATCTAAGCAGTACCGTGTGTCATAATCACAAGAACTCCCTTGTTTTTTACCTTTTAGTAAAAGCTGGAACCAATCTGAATAGTGTTTTGAAAAGTCTGAAGATTTTTCTATCAGATTAGGTGCATGTTCGCCTTTCATGAGAAAAGTTGATAATAGAGTTTCTGGAAAACCTGCCTGCTTAAAAACCAAGTCCTTAGTTTTTAGTGAGAAAATTTTGCAAGCCATATAGCCTTATAGAGCGAAAAATTCTGAGC